GTTGAGGTCTGCCTGATTATCCTCTAGGCCAACGGTGCTATTTGATGCCTCTTTGAGTCTGTTGGAAAAGTCTGTTAATTTGCTACTGGATTTTGTTATTTCATCCCTTAGGCCTTAGATTTACTTTTGATGTGTGACCTTTATCTCCACTATCATTTCATCCTTTTTTCTGTATTGATTCTCTCAAATCCTGTATGACTCCAAGCAGGATTCTGAAGATTTCTTTCTGTATCAGGTAAATGTCTGATTCTTCTATGTACATTGTTAGGTTCATGACTTCTTCCAGCATTGTTTTCGGATTCTTCTGCTTTTAGTTGAGGCTATTGGGACTGGTTGCTGTTTACATGTTGTCTTAGAGGATCCCGGTGTGATCTTCCAGAGTCAAAGAGCACTGGGCATCTATTGGGGGAACTCATATAAGTGTTTCTTTGAACTACCTGCAGGTAGCTGCACTGAGGGGGACAGGCTACCACTGTATCTTCCTGGGGTTTCACTCTTACCCTAGCCAACTATTATTTTGTCATTTGGAATGTGAGGTGGATAGTCTTCTCAAGGGATACTGGTAAGGTGATTGTGGGCCCACGAAGGTGGCACTTCACTAGCTGATCTCCCAGGAAGCTGTGGTGGTGTGTCCCACAGGGCTTGGAGCACCTTGGATGGTGTGTAGTGTTTCCCTCTGCAACTGGAGTGCTGCGGAGGGTGGATAGGTATACCCTCCTTGGTGTAGAGCACTGTGGATGACAGGCATAATTACCTTATTCATAGAGATTGCCACAGAAGTTGGGCAGATGTTCCTACATCTGTGTGGAGTTCCACAAATGGCAGGCAGGAGATCCCTCAGTAACTTGTCGGGCCTTGGGGTATAGGTGGGAGTTCCCTCAGCCATATGAAGGGGAGATCCCCCAGCCATTTTGGGTGTAGTAAAGGGTGAGTGTGATTTTCCCCAGCTGCATGTAAAGCCAACAAGTGAGGGTGGGATTTCCTCCCACTGGGAAGTCAGAGTTGCCCTTGGTGGAGGGGAGTGGCCTCAAGGCCGGTAGTGGTTTGTGAAAGGAAAGAGGGAGAAGAGGAAAAAAAGGGAGAAAGGACAAAAAGACAAGTGCAAAAATAAAAAACAAACTAACACTCACCAAAAAAGCAAAAACAAAACGATACCAAAGAAGTAAAACTGAGTCTGTTGAGACTGTGGCGGGAAAGAGAGAAGAGATAGAAGAAGAGGAAAAAGGAAGAAAAGGGGAAAGAAGAAAATAAAATAGAGATAAAGAGATAGCTGAGCCCTGTGCCATGCCATGTGCAGCATTGTTTCATGTCATGTGGTGCACTGCCAAAGGAGGAGAGTCGGGGCTCTCCCTGCTGGGTGGGCGGAGTTGCCCTAGGCAGAGGATAGGGGGCCTGGAAGCCATCAGTGCATGTGGAAGGAAAGAGAGGGAGATGAGAGAAAAAGAAAAGAAATAAACAAAATTATAAAGAAGATAAAAAAGAAAAGAAAGAAGGAAATAACACAACTATGCTCACTGAAACTAAGTGTGGTGGAAAAGAGAGAAGAAAAAAATAAAGAGTAAAGAGATAGCTGATCCCTGATTGCCTGAGCATGGGGCTGGAAGGGTTCAAACCCTGCCCTAAGGTGGCAGGTTGGTGTGCCCTTTTAGTTCAGGGTCTCACTGGTGCTGGGCAGAATTGCCCTGGTTAGCAAGATCACCATGGAGGCCAGGCAAAGGATTCCTCAGCAGTGTGGAGAACTGGATAGGATTGTCATAGCTGCTTGTGTGGTGTGCAGCCCCACAGAGGGCAAGCTGGAGCCCCCCCCCCCCCCCATCCCCCGCTGTTTGGGCAGAGTTGCCCTAGGCAGAAGGTAGTGGACTGGAAGCCAGCAGTGGCATGTGAAAGAAAAGAGAGGGAGAGAAAAAGAAAAGAACTAGGCCTGCTGAGACGGACTGTGATGGGAAAGGGAGAGCGGGGAAGAAGAAAGAGGAAGCAAAAAGAAGAAAAAGTAGGGAGATATCTGAGCTCTGATCACTTGACTTTGGGGCTGGAAGAGTTCCAGCCCTGGCTCAAGGTGGCAGGGTGATGTGCCTGCTTGGTGTAGGGTCCCACAGATGCTGGGTAGAATTACCCTCATAGGCAAGATCACAGTGGAGGCCAGGCAGGGGTTCCTGCAGCAGTGTGGTGTGCTGGAGTACACTGTTGCCATATACAGCACTGCTGAAGGTGGGAGGGAAGCTCCCTCAGCCACGTGTAGGGTCCTGGGACAGGCAAGGGATCCCCCAGCCATGCAAAGAACAGGCAGGACTTCCCCAGCTGCATGTAGGATCACTGAAGGCAGACAGTATCTTCCAGTGTTGGGCTTTCAGAGTTGCCCTAGCTTGTTTCAAGACCACTGAAGCCCAAGTAGCTCAGAGACGTTTTTCCCCCCCTCCCTGGTCAACATGAATTGAATAAAATTAACTTGCCCCCCCTGACTACAGGCTCTCCATCTGTGCTCAACAAAATTGTTCTGAGACTGAAGATTTCTCCAGAGGCTCTTTGTTATGTTGAAAGCCTCTGGACTCTGTAGCTAACTTCTGGCATTCCTTAGCATGGGCTCCCTTAATATGTTAATGTATGTTAAAGGATCTATTCGGTAGGTTTGTCTTGGAGTTAAACAATGAGCCTGGGATTTGCAGTTTTTACAGGAAAATATTTTTTCTCCTTTGTATATTGGGCTTGTGGGGTGCCCTAATTTCAGGGCTGTCACGCTGAACCCCAGGGGAAGAGATCTTGCTTATCAGAGAGGTTATTTTCTTCTCAGACAACTAGAACTGAATTCGCCCCACCCCTACCCCACCCACCTATGGCTACCCACTTGTGCGCTATCACACTGTGATCTGACTCAGGTAAATTTCCTGACGTCTTTTCAATTGCTGTAGATCTATGGCTACCCACTCCCCTAGGCTATGAGTGTAAGGTAGCTAACAGTGCAGGAGCTCTGGTGTGTGGTTTTTTGACTAGCTTTCAGAGGCTCTCTCTGAGTCTGGGATTATGACCACTTTTAGACAGCAGCCTGGTTAATCCCTGCTCACTGCTCCTTTGGACTAGGGATTAGCCTGGTTAATCCCTGCTCCCTTGGACTAGGGATCTGGCAGGGGCTTGGATCAGGAACCCATAAGCCCAGCACAATGAACCTAGAGCATTTCAGTGCATTCTCAGTTCCTGTTGTGAGTGAAAATTTGTAAAAATGCAGGAGTCTGGGCCAAACTCTAGTATCCTGCTTCTAATTTTAGGACTCGGCCTCCAAGTCTCATTCTCCTTACCTCTTAGTTTTCTGGTCTGACAACAGGAGCTACAGGCAGGTATCTCTACCTGGATGCCATCTTTCCCAGTCTCGCTATTTTGTATGGTCATTGTTGCTGGGTCTTTGTTTGCTGTTTGTCCTAGTTTTGTATGTTTACCTGTATAGAGAAACCAGGACAAATGGATTTATGAAGACAGTAGCTGTAATAATGATTTCCTGGGGGTATGAAAGGAGAGGGTGGGGAAAATGGGAGTCAACATCAGGGGGTACAAGAAGGAAGGAAAAGTTCCAAAGTGGATTGTGGCAATGATTTTACAACATATTTTGATATGATTGAACTTTTTAATTGTATGCTATGTTATTTTTAGCACAATTTTAAAAAATATTAAAAACAAGAAAAACCTATTGAACTGTTCTATTTTGCAAGACAAGGGAAAATAAAGAAAGAAAGAAAGAAAGAAAGAAAGAAAGAAAGAAAGAAAGAAAGAAAGAAAGAAAGAAAGAGTGGTTGATGAGTCAGATGCAGGATCTATACCCAGCTAAAAGCAAAGCAAGCTTTTCCACAGTGTTATTTTATTGGAAAGGAAAGGCCATATCCCCAAGGAAACTTCCTTTGATTTGTATCAGGGTTGTAACAAGAGTAAAGGTGTTGGATTCTACCTTCATCTTAACCTATTATGGAGGCTTATAACTGACTGGCTTTTCAGTATATTGCATTGAGTCAGGTCATGGGTCTTGCTAGCTACTCACTCCCAAACCATGGGGAAGCTTGGCTCAATGAAGACGGCACTGAACTTTATCACACCGACCTGGGATTTACCTGTTTCGATAGAGCTAAAGTATGCCAAACCTTTAGAAGAACCTTTAAAGGTTAAGAGCTAGTTCTTTTAGTGCACTGCTTCTAGAGTCTATGCATTTTCCATTTCATAACCAACATCAATAAGATTAATTTCCCTTGCACTCTAACATCCTATTAGGGAATACTTAAGACTTTGATAGTAGACCTAAGCCTTTTCTTTCTTTCTTTCTTTCTTTCTTTCTTTCTTTCTTTCTTTCTTTCTTTCCTTCCTTCCTTCCTTCCTTCCTTCCTTCCTTCCTTCTTTCCTTCCTTCCTTCCTTC